ACGAAAATGAACTAAAACTCACTAACCCACTCATGCATCCCTGAAAGCCTCAATTTTAGAACGTATGTATGTATATAAAATCTCGCTAAAATACAGACGGTTTAGTTACATTTTTATTACTGACATTTCTCTCTGCACAGAATTGGGCCAAAGTAGTAAAAAGGCGTGTGTATGGACTGTATTTCGTGCTTATTAAGAGCGAAAGGGTTTTCGAATAAAGAGAGATCTTGTAGTATGTAAAATCGTATATATTTTGTCGTCATAATACAAAAATACGTACGAATTATGTATTTGTAATCTTAACTTTTAACAAATGTTGGAATATCTCCATATACTTTTCTTTAGAAATGTCTCTCATCTCGGCCAAAATTTCAGCACTTCTTTACTGTTGAAGTGTTGTTCTCATTTTCCGGTGGGTGAGATTTATGCAGCTTATTCAGTTTTACTAACTGCAGTAACAAGTTGATGATTAAGGAGTATTTTCTTGGCCAGGGTTTTTTTAAAACAATTCAAAAATTCGACTTAAGCTTAACTGGACATAAAATGTGTACATTACGACCCGCATATGTATACATTCTCGTGATAATTTGAGCATAAAAACAGTTTTAGAGTGTAAATATGCTCCAAATTGTAAACGTATGTAACCAAGAAGGAGGATGGCAAGCTGTCATTTCAGCTACGTCGACGTCTTCGTCGTCTTCTTGTCCTGTCGTTTCACCAAAATTAGTGTCGGGTGCAAGAGGAAACCGGGATTCGGAGTTTGATAGGTTCGTGTGCAAAAAGTAGAGAGAGTTATTTCCAAGTGCAAAAATTCTCTCACCCACACCCAAACCCAATCTTATCCAAACCAACCCAGATTTCTACCCCATTTGAAATCATAATACGCTAAATCAGAAGAAGAGCAAGAATAAATCTCAGTTTAGAATTTCATCGGAAACATGTTAAAATGGATGCAAAAGGGTCGTCTATTTACTTAATTGATTGCAAGTTTCGTAAATATTTGCCCAAAAAACGGGAGAGCTACATATGTATGCATGCCCGATTTAATTAAAAGTTTGTGACGCAATTAATTATTTCTTAACCTTTTGACAAGCATTTCTCACGTGCTGGGCTTTATTCTTGGATTGATTTCATCAGATTTCTCATAGCTATTTATACAATGTTAATATTGCATTGCACTGGATATACATGCACAAGCACGAGCGTATTAATAACATGTCATTTTCATTAACTTTTCCTCAAGACGAGTTTGTTCATGTACCTAATTTTCTTTTCTGTTTGATCTACGCACGACGAGCTCCTTTGACTTTGATCTTTGATCCCTTGATGTCAAGTGTCACCGCTTGACAGTTTTGGGAAATTTTCTTCGAGTACAAAGTCCCGTTGGATTTTTTTTTTCCTTGTAAAAATAAATATCCTTGAAGTTGAATTCCTCCAGCTTTTTCATTTTATTGAAACTTGAAATGAAATTTTATTTCGTTGCATGATACAAAGAGACAGAGGAGAAGGGTGACATTCCAAAATTTTGATGTCTTGTGTGCAGTCAATTTGCATAATTTTTTGACCTTGTAAATACAAAATGCAAGGAAAAATACAGATATAATTTAATCTGTGCGACTGCGACGACATTGCAGGGATTTTATGTTTTTGTATATTTTAGTACTGGTAATTTTAGATGCGTAGATATTTGGTTTGCGATCTTATTTTACAATTAATTAAGTATGCTAACAATTAGTAGGTGTGCTATTTTCGGTGTGCAGAACTGCAGAATTTGGTTTGCAGAATATTGTGTGCAAAACGACAATAATCCAGGGAATGAGATGAGAATTTGGGCCTCAAGTTACATTAATACGCATATAAACCTGATTTTCTGTTTCTCATATTTTGTGCCCGCAATTTGAGATGCATGAAAATTTGGTTTCTGACCTTTTTGCACATTACTAATTAAGTATGCTAAATAATCAGGTGTGCTATTCATAATGTGCAGAATAATCTGTGCAAAACGACGGTAATCCAATGAATGAGATGAGAATTTTGGCCTCAAGCTACATCCATACGTACTTCATACTTGTATAAACCTCTTTGTTCCAAGCTGTCTAATTCACTAATAAAATTACCAAGTGGCTCATCCTCCATTCCGGTTTACGAGGAATATGTATTCTCATCCACGTGCTAATTGTTACACACGATTTCTCCAGTAAAACCCACGTTTTAGGACAGAATTGGAATAAACATAAGCCCGAAAATGACCCCATTCAAGGAATTCGCAATCCCGTTATTCTATAATCCTTCTTCTGGAAATACATTATAAAGATTACAATCCACCACGACGCACATAATTTGAGCCATTAAAACTTTTCTGCTGCCTACGTATGTCAAAATCTTTTTTTCTCAGAAGTTTATTTTGATTTGGGTCGAGATGATTTTTCTTCCACTATACCAAAAATATACAACAATGCTCCCTTTGTCATCCATCCGCATTAATCTGGATTAAGCTAATGGATCCGCTAAGCAGAGAAGGAGGAGGGTATACGTGCACACAATGAGCTGCTAATTTTGTTCTTCTGATGGCAAGTAAATAGGTATTGTTACACCGTTCAGTTTCGGAAACCAAGTTGTCCGTAATAACTTTTCTCTGACGACGACGATGTAAACAGTCTGAGTTTTTTGGCGTCTTTGGTAAAGAAAGTGATGGAAAGTGGTTGCTAGTGATGCAAGCAAAACCAATGAGGTGATCCCTATATTAGTTCTTATTATTTAGCTCCCATCATAAAATACGGACAGAATTCGCCATCTGGCCTTCCTTCACACCGGTGGTGCGTATTCAAATTCATACATTTAATATGTTCCAACTGGTCCAGAAGAACATGCCTCTCCAGCACAAAAATCATCGTATGGCGTACAACGGCCGCGGAACAATGTCCCCACGATTATTCGATGTCGGCATCATCTCCCCATGTTATATAAACCACTCCCTCTCCTATCCTACAATGTTAATGTCCCCACGGCTTCCGCGGCTACTGACGTATTGCATCCCAAGTTCGGTTTGGTGACCGAATCACCAAAAATAATAATTTCCCTACATTTATGACCTGATGTCTCCTTTTATGTATCTGTGGCACTGGTGATTTCCACCAACTTTCTTCTCAGCGATAACATTTAATGTTGTTTTACTTCTAGAATGATGTTGCTACTGCAGTGCGGAGGATCTCCAAATTTGCCAAATCATCCAATCTAATCTCCAATGAAATTTTGGACTTGAAACAAATCTTCTCTTAGAGTTTGCAACTAAACGATGCTGTATTTTTCCCAATGCAGTGCGCAAAACGAGATGGAGACCCGTGTGCAAAAAGTTTTAAAGTGAAGTGAGAAATGTTTGCGAAAAAAACGGATGCTTCGAAATTTTGGCAAGTCTTTCAAAGAGAGAGAAAGAGGGATGCGATGAGTACATTTATGTCGTCTGTGTAGCCAAGGAAGAAAGAAAATAAACGGTTTAAAGTCATTCCTCTTCTGCATTTACTAGGGAGTAAATCCAACAACAAAACAAAAAGAGTAGTTGCGACAGTACGGGTTCATTTATTGTGATGTCATGTAAATTTAAACAATACCGAGGAGCATACTTGCGTACATATGTAAAAAAACAGAGGACAGCTTTAGTTAGCCCGAGTCAGGTTGTTATCAATAATTGCGACGCGGGTATAATACGATCACGACAATTTTTTTAGTTTTCCACACATTTTGCTGATCTTCGAACCTGATTCATAATTTTTCAGGTTCTACGTGTGCCCAAAATTTCGAAAAAAGTCGATTGGATAAGTTTTACGAGCGTAATCGATAGACAGACAGACAGCCATAAACATAAGGCCTGACTCGGGCTAAAAACAATTTTTTTAAAAATTTGTCCACATATTTTAGTTATCGAATGTTACATATTCTACGTGTGTGCTAAATTTTAAGCCGATTGGATAAGTTTTACGAGCGCAATCGATACACAGACGAACAGACAAGCATGATGCGTACATAAGCCTTGACTCGGTCTAAAAAAAGTAAAGCTACTGCTGCTATCCTTACATTCTAATCCATTGTTTTTGTAATACTTTTTTGTAAGTATCTAACTACACTGTTTTTATAATTTAGGGGAAGAAAACCCATTTAATTTGGTCACAATTTTGATGAAGGCATCATCCTCCCAACAGTTGAATGTACGTACGAAACGCTAACGTAACGTGCCAAGGAAGTATAGGCATTCGAGTTTAATTGGGATTGATTAGTGAAGCAACTGTTACTCTCATGTTATGCTTTTAACCTCTTTAATTGAGTGCGAGAGTTTGGGATTAATTACCCCCAGAATCAAACGCCTCGCCCCCTCGACTCGAAAGAGACTAATTATATCCTGGTTTCGTCGTGTTGATTGAAGTTTTCTAAAATATATTAAAAGGCTGCTGGGTCGGGTGACATAAGGGAAATTGGAAATTTGTGTTATTTCCATGTGCAAATATTTTGTTTACTCATTTCTCCAGTGACGTAAACGTATATGACATTTCCGTTGACATAAATTTCTCCCCATTTCCTCTCCTCCCTTCTCTTTCTTAATGGGGTGATCGTGGTAGAGGTTTATACAACTAATGTGACGTTGAAATTGATACGACCGAGTCAACATGCACCAAATATTGGTTAGCGTCACTTGTTTACTTCTTGATTTAGCGTCAAAGTCACGAATAAGAAGAAGGACCAGTGACGACGACCATGGACGAGACATCCATCATGCTCGGATCATTATTTCCCATTAAAGATTTCCAAAGCAAACAGAGAAAGTTGTGAGTTGGAAATGTGATCCAAATCGGAAACTTTTAGATTTGGGTCAGAAACGGTTTGACATTTGGATAGTTAGACTACTTTCACTCAGATTTTTTGTGTGCATTTTCTACTACGTTGAGCAATATAATATCGAAGCATATATACAAATTAGTGACCATTTGTAACAGAGAGGTTTCCCTTACCTCATCACAGGCATGACATCTTGGATGTATTTGTTCAGCATAGTGCCGTTCACATGATAGCGCTTCTTGGAATTTGCAATACGTCAGGTCAACGAGAGGTTGGTTGCAGGTGAAGCATTGAAAACAGGCTAAACAAACAAAATTTGGGTTAATTCCGTGTACAATTTTTGTATTGGTATGAATTTGTTCTTTATGTTATGTACCTGGATGCCATACGGCGTCCTCACCAAACTTGGGGGCGAAAACTCCCAGTTGTCCAGTGAGGATGGGTTTTCTGCATCCCTCACAACTCTGCAGGTTCAAATTACCGTAAATTAATGATACACGACGATATACTAGCATTATAAGTAATTATATATCACACTTACGGACGCGGGGATGGAAACTGGAGCGACGAAACCAACGTCTAAAGCTATTTCGTTTCTCGTATTTACAAAGTCCTCGTAAGCGGAATGGTGTTCTTTGTCGACTGCAAGAAAAAATTTGGAAATTTGTGAGCTTGATTTTAAGGTAGATCTATGTACATATTTATTTAGGTGACATAACGCTTTTACCGTGCTTGCAATATGCTAGAGCCAGGTCCTGAAATTAAATTATGTATTAGATAAATCAAAAATATTGCTAACAATTACACCAGATTTACATAAATACATTCTTAAACCATGCATGAATATAAATCTGACCATATCTCAGAAAATATCATAACCGATAAAAAGTCATATCGTCGTTGAAGCATGAAAAGTTCACATACATTTCCGCATTTTGATTCGTCAAAGACGATATAATTTCAGAAATGCACAAAAAGAAGCAAATATTTGACAAGTTCAATATAAAGACATTCATTTCTGACATCAGAGAGACGACGACGACTGCTTGCGCACTTGCTACAGATGGTCAAGTAAAAGTATCCATATAACAAAAGATAATCCCTTCTTGTACGTCCCGACATATTTAGACTCGACGAGAGATAAGCTTCACTTCACCCAAATTGAGCACGTATTAATAATAAATTGTGGCAAGGACAGTTCTCCGTAAGACCATTACTGCTTATCTCTCGCGTATGTATTACTTGTTTGGGTATCTGGTGCAGAATCTGTCGATCTCTGTAAACTTCCCCCGGCGTCCCGACCTTGGGTACGTTATCCGACTGTGGAGGAGAAATCATAAGTGCATCACAAAGTTAGACAAGAATTACGGTGATGATATGATGATACACTAACCTGGAAATCCTTGTAAAACTCGGCAACCTTGTAGAAAAAAAGTTCACTTTATTTTTTTTGACCGTGACCTCCATCAACTATTTGTTTTAATAATTATGATACTTACCTGAGTGGAGTTTAGGTTGGGGGGCAGCCATGTGTAGCCTTGGAGGTGGGATGGACGGTTGGCGGTGAGGCGCTGGAAGGGGTCCGTCGCGTCTTTGGAAAGTAAACCGAGTCGATCACGAATCTCTAACCACTAAAAATTACGTAAAACATGGGTCATTTATGAAATTCGAAAAAAAATCAGTAAAATAATTATTAAATTATTATCTTACCTCGTCGTGTAGGAGGTCGTGTGAGTCCTTGGGACACTTGCAACTCGAACAGGTTTTCCTATACAAGAAAAGCAAAACAATTAAGAATAATTTGTGCAAAATTGATGTCTACCGGATGTTGCAAAGTACAGATTTGATCGTGTCTGGAGATTATGATTTTATTCCAGTGATTTTTTTTACCTAACGATGAATTCGTACAACTCCTGTTGATTGAACACTTTACAGTACGCTTCGAGAACTTGGACACACGCATACTTTAGCCCCGGCCAAGGGACGAGGTGAGTATCAATTCCCAGCGTTACTGGACAAGGGTGCATTTTCATTTGGTTTATTTTTTGAAAAAAAATACGTGGATTTATTTATTCACTTTGGACTAGCTGATTTCCATATTTAATTAATATCGGTGCCTAATCTGTCTAATTTGGAATTCATCATTGTTATAAGTCGGAAATTGAAAGAAATCTCGGTACCAATATAACTTGCAGATAAATGCACAAATTCACTATTTTTGCACTGCATAAATGCATGACCAGCGTGTTGATCCATATTTTAAGGGGGCGAAATGTACGTTATGAAAAATTTATTACAACAAATTAACCAAATTGATTTGATTTAGACTTGCTTCTAATGCAAAATAGCGACATCGAGACATGCTCTATAGGCATAAAAACCAATCTTGGTTGGTGCATATGTACTAATAATACTAATAATCATAATTTATGGGCAGTTATAAGTGTGTTACACTAAACAAATCAATGGTAACGTGGCAGCCTAGACTGACAGCCATTATTTCCTACGTATGCATGGTTAAATATCACACCGGAAGTTGGTTGGCATGTATGATGGTGGGACAATATAAGTGATAATTACTGTACTCCAACCCACCAACCAGAAGTACATACTCGTGGTATGGTCGTATGTATGATTTCCCAACTGAATGAAATTCAATGGAAAACATTTACCGGAAATGAGCAACATTTCAGGAAAACTTACCTTTCGTATGTTTTCGGGAAACCACAAACTTTCTCAGCAGAAATTCGTTATTAAATTGTCAAAGCGACTTTGAGAATTGGGTTTGATTGCGTAACAAACAGTACCACGCTCTCTGTCTCTCTCTTTGTGCAAAACTTGCGCTGCGACTTTCCCGTCCCTTGATCAGATTGCAACTAAAGAAGTCAGTTCTGACAGAGGAGTGACATTAGAAAGAGAGAAAGTAAAAGGTGAACTGGTTTGATGTGGCTGAATCTAAATGTTGCTAATCGAATGTGGGGAAAAGCATAAGTAAAATGTCTAATCTAATCTATATCGATCCAAAATCCGACCTTTTCAGGCAAACCGTGTCGATCCAACGCAGGAAGAAGTGGGACACAGTCATTGTCATCTTCAATCTCTAACGCCATACGGTCACACTATCCAGCAGACCTTCATCGTACCTGCCGTCCTCGTCGTCGTGGTGGCCCACCCACATAAAAGATATGGTCGTATGTACATGCACATAGACAAATTTACTACTTACTACCAGCAGTGGTACGGTACACTCTTAGAAATCCGGTATTAAAATAATACCAAGCGGTATTCATATCCAAAGTGGTATTGATAAGTGATACCCTGTAGTAATAGCTTGATATTAAAGTTTTACCATTTCGGTAGCAAATTTTTATGGACCGGTATAATTTTAATGCCAAGTGGTAGCAACTTTAATACCGAGAAATCAATACCAGCTGCTTGACTATACCAGATTTCTATCAGTGCAGACATTCAGTATTAAAATAATACCAAGCGGTATTCATATATGACTCTACCAAAGTGGTATTAATAAGTAATACCGTGTAGTAATATGTAGCTTGGTAATAAAGTTTTATCATATCTATAGGAAATTTTTACGGACCAGTATAATTTTTTCTATTAAGCGGTAGCAACTTTAACACCGAGAAATCAATACCTGCCTGACTTTACCAGACTTCTAAGGGTGTACCATCGAGAGCCTAGCCCTTTCTCCTGATTACAATACTCATCCCTATCTCAACTTTTACCTTTATTACCGGCGAATTAGAAAGCCGAGCCTGTATGCATAGTTGTATTACATCATATAAGTACATATCTGATGGGAAAATTGTGTACTATGGCTAATTGAGATGCATTTCATTAGATTAATGCAAATCTGGTAGTTTATTGCTACCGTGTTCCTGTCCGCAATTTATGTACAATGGAATTACGCTACCCTGTCACTAATTATGCCCTTGGGAGATATGTAAATACGCATGTAGCTGCAAGATCATAAAGTGAAAGTGGAGAATGCATAATCGAAAATCATTTTTTTGATTAATTTGTTGTTAGTGTCTAAAACTAGAGTGTGAATCCTTAAGTAAATGTTTGATTAGCATATGTTATCACCACGGATGAGATAAACCAGCCCCTCAAATTCTGGGTCAACCAACAAACAATTCCCCTTTTTGCGCATCAACCCTCTCTCAGGTCCAATTATCTATGTTAACGGTACAATAAACCAGACTTGTTGTTCAGAACAAATTAGATCAATCAGTCAATAAACGAGGTGAATTGGTAGTCCTGGTCGGTTCGTGGGTGCAATAAGTTGATCATTAATCCCAATGTGATTAAACGCGGATGACACAAAACCGACCCTCGCACGTCAACGTCAACGTCAACTGGTGTACAAATCGTTCTTGGGATAACATGTCGAGTATAGTATTACATAAAAAAAACTGTCCCCACACTCAAGTGACTGTTGACCTCTCTCATTTGCTACACAGTTTTGTGTCCAGCGAAATCGTCTCTCAGTGGCCGCGGAAGCTTGTGGACAGTGTCCCCACGGTTGTTCGATGTCCGCATCATCTCCCCATCTTATGCAAACCCCTGCCTCCCCCATCCTACAATGCTAATGTCCCCACAGCTTCCGCGGCCACTGCTGAGGATGAATACGTGCCTCATCAATTACGCCACGCCGCCGAGAGACCTGCACCGACCGAGCGCTAATAGGAATAATAAGTATCAGTTAGTCTAAGGAGGTGTTGTTACTACGGTGCTCATTCTCATCCATACAGCCAATTGGGTCTCGAGGGAGAGACAAATCTCAAAATAACAGGGACTAACTGCATCCATAAATTAATAATTCACCACAAACCATTTGCCTTAACCGAGAGAGCCAAACTCGGCGATAATATCACACCACGACCAACTAAACCACAACCACTTTCTCTTACTACGAATTTTTCCAGGGTGAAAGTAGAATTCGCAGCGCACGCTTTCTCTGTCGTTGCGACCATCAGGTTATGATTATGAGACGTAATAAACATTTTTTTACATTCCTACTGCCGGTCATTTTATTCTATCGCTTCAAATTTATTGTGGGAATCATCCCTTTTTTTAGTGATACAATGAAAAGTTGACCACTCTCCGGCAGCTATTTCGTATTCTTTACTTTCGAGTGGATGGGGATGAGAGAGAGAGGAAAAAGAAACAGGCCGAAAATCCCAGCAGGGGACGTAATGTCAACATTGAATAAAAATGAAGTAAAATCCGAAACTATGTAATCCTTCCATCCGCACAATAACCAGGTTTGTGCGGATCCTATCTCCGGATTGAGAGAGAGAGAGAGAAAGATAGTGGTAATAAAAAATCGTAAATGGGAGCATTTTCTCCCTTTAGTCCAAAATGGCTCAAGGTCCTTGCGTGCTTTCACCACCTGCTTTCACCACTTCACCACCACCACGAGAGACGCAACTGTCTCAACTTTCTCCGTTTTTTACGAGATGAATAGTCTTACAGAAATGCAGAAAATATGGTTTTTCGATTTTTCAGAATAATGTTTTAATAATGTATTTAAAGCGTTTTAATTACGCTACTGCCGGTATGAAAATCGACTTGTCAAAAATTGGGCAATTTTTCTGTTTAAGAGAAGTACACAATTTCTGGCGTAGAATAAAATGTGTCGGATTTTTTTTCTTGCACAAAATTTTCTACCAGCCTAAACATGCAAAATTCTGCAGGTGCTTTCCCAAGAAAAATGGGCCACTTTTCCGCAGGTAAATTTTCATTACAGGTGCCTACGTACGCCTACACACTAAAATAAAATGAGTCCCGGTGTTGTGTTGTATAAGCAAACGATGAAATACTTGCTGCTCCCTATTTTTTTCATGGCTTTATGTTTGAGACGCATTTTATAGAAAAGCAGTGATTTCGTAACTTGTATTTATTATTTTTACTTCCTACGTTGCATTTATTTATTCTTATTACCTTTTTCGCCTTTTCTTTCATTCCCTTTCTTCCCCTTTGTCTAAAAAAAGTGGACAATAACCACCTTATAAAACCTCGCCGTTCATAATACTTACGACCTCGAAAAGCGTGGGGGGAAGATCTGTTTCGTCACTGTGGACAATCTATTAAATCAAATCAGCTAACAACATTCCCAAAATAGAAGGCTCAATTCAAAGGAAAAGGGAGGAAGCGTCATAGGTCAAGCAAAGTTAATTCGCCATCACGTCACGCCAGAAACGTCATCTCTCTCTCCCTCTTTCCCCCTTGACGTAATTAAGAAGAACTTGTATTCCGACGACGTTTTAAGGTCACGGGCTGGTTCAAATAATAAATTGTACAAATTAATCTGTGGCAAGATTTAATTAGCGATAAATTTACACAAGATTTTCCTCACACACAAGAAAGTATATCCTGAGGGAAAAGTGAAACTCTGGCCTTACATACATACCTATCATCCAACTCTGTCACTGTCACTACGTGCAATTACTACTAACTAATCTAGCAAAGAAGAAGTCGGGCTAATTTATAGTGCGAAATTTCCTATGGTGTACTGTGGATTAAAGTGTAAATACATAACTCCTCTCGTCCAACCCAACCCAACCCAACCCACCGAAATTGTTTCCAGGCAAAAATTACTGTCAAGTTAACTAATGCCAACTTTACAGTGAGGGAATTTAAGTTCAAAGGGCAAAACCCAAAGCCATTCATAATGTGAGAGAGCAGACATGAACTAAAGTGAATCAAGGAAGGCTAACCAACCAACTTTCTCCACAAAGAATCTTT